ACAGAATGCCAAGCCACGATCTGGCCACGTGAATAAGTTGAAGTTACATCCTTCTAACAGGAAAAGTAACTTTCGTTATCATGGAATTATAACAAAACCTGCCAATTCAATATAAATGGAAAAAAAAATATTATATGGAATTGAACGAAAATGAAAATTTGCTTGATAATTCAACTACGCTTGTTGAAGAACAATAAAAACACTACACTCAACAAGCCACCAATAAAACTTAACTGCCTAACCTATAACCAAAGTCTCCTTTTAATTTGTTTTTAAAAAAAAGCGCTTGACAAACTTGCCCCGCATGCCGAAGTTGCCCCGTTCTCCCCTAATAATGGTTTGTTTTGAGAATTTCCTAACAAGTTCGAGATGAGAAAGCAACCAAATTATTTTAAAATGATTGATTTTGTAAGCGATAATGTGTTGTCGTAGCAGTAAGCACCGTATAAACGCATATGAATATAAAGCGAAACGAGTGCCGTTATTGCCGTGCTGCCAAATATAGCTTTATTATTTATATAGAGAACTACATAAGAGAACTAAAATCGAAATATAAATATATTTATAACAATGTCTGAAATGTTATCAATTTAATACACCGAAGTACTCAATGTAAACTAAACGTAGTAGAAAAAAATCGCATCTAAAATAGTACAGTAGAAGTTGCTCTTTAGGTTAACGTTTTCCCTTAATGCTTTTTCTCTCCCCACCGCAAAAGAATTCCAAAAAATACCTTCTTAGTGTGCGTTTTCATGACGTAATCGAACTAAGTACCAAATTTCACCTTTTTAGGTTCAGCGGTTTGCTTTAAATTATGATCAAGCAGTCAGCAAGGACAAGTAATTTTTTATATTTAGACCATTAGTGAATGAAAAGACATAAAAATGCGATTAAAACCTGCTGAATTCTTATTTGCCTTAATATAGTTGAACTATTGCAATAATTTTAATCATTTATTGTACAATAATTTATTAAGAAACCGCCATCAACAGAAGCACTACATACTGTAATTCTATTGCAGAGATGCAGGTTCAAATATAGCTATTGACATTAATAATATTACTTTCTTTGCCATATGAATATTAAAAAGCTTTACATTAACTGTATATGTCAACACAACACTGAAGAGAAATGCCTCTCGAAAAAAGTTTAAATGAAAAACTGATTCCTATTTAGGTATTACAAACGTAAAGTAAACTCGAAAAGTTCTACGTTGTCAGCCTGTCAGCAAGGAGCAAACTGACGAAAAGCTACAAAAATTCAGTATCTTTTCCACTCAGACACAGGTAGGCAACTCTAAAATACTATCAATCCTGCTCATTGTGGGATGAACCATGCCCATAATGGTAGGTATGTTTCAAACTACAATGATGAGGGACTGGGCTCAAGGTAGCGAGATAGATCTTTCATGAAAAATTCTTGGAGAATTTCTCGCCCGGATGGGCCAAGACGATTACCTTTTATTTATTATTACACAGGAACTAATTCAAAAATTAAAAATAGAAAATAAAATTACAAATTAATCATTAAAATTTCTTTCTTCTTCGATTAACGCGTAACAAAGAAACTCAACAATTGATCATTCATTGTTTAGCTCTGTTATTGTCAAGAGTGCGGTTTTCAAGTGCTAAAAAGATGTTTTTTGATTCTTTAAATTATCATCCCTTGCCTGAACCTTTGGAGTAAGAGATTTTTCACATTTTATTGTTATTTATGCGAATAAGAAATTCATTCGAAAAATTAATGGCTTTAAAATGAAATTGCTCTGTGTAAATGTTAACTAATTTAAATTGATTTAAAGATTTCGATTCTTCGATATTTCTGAAAGTAGTTTTTAAGTAAAAATTTTTGTGTTTTGCTGTATCCTGTAATTATTTTGATGTTAAAATTAATGGGTTAAATTTGCGTGAGTTTAACTGCTCAGAGTTCAGGGTCTTGTGCTAAGTAAAAACATCTTAGGGTTTTTACATTTACTGCTACTTAGAAAAGTAAACAGAATACGTTTTTAACTTATTGAACCTAATTTAATAGACTCATTTGTCATCCGTAGCCTTTTTAATTCACTACAATAGTCATAAATTATTAATTGAATTAGCAGTTAATAGATATATAATTTATAAGTTGTTAAATTTTATTACATGTTGTTTTATAATAAGATACTTATTGAAAATTTAAGCTTAATTACTAAAAACTTCTTCCCCTCACTCAAATTAATGAAATTTCACGAGTATATTAAATGATGCTTTCTTTAGCTTACAGTGTGATAAGAAATTTTGTTAGACATTAAATGAAAAGTTTTTTAGAGTGTAATAATTTTTCTAAAAGTTTACATAAGTACTCATTGGCAAATTTTTGTATATTCCATTTTAAATTTAAAATAAAGGTTTCGGTATTTAACATTTATTGTGTTATGTGAATTTTCACTTTCTATTTTCAGGGCAACATCTGATGGACGAGCGGGTTTCGTGCATCCAAAGAATTTGGATCACTTTAAATATCGAGGCAATAAAAAAGGCCTATTGAAGCAGGATGAACCCGCAAATAATAGATTTGGAACGTCCATCTTCAAAAACCACATTAATGCTGCGTGTAAACAAGCAATAGAAAAGCTTCGGCCATTTTACGAGATTTCGTGCGATCGCTTTAACAGGTAAGTTATATTACTGTTTATATGTTATACACTTATATCATGTTGATACATGGTTCTTGTTTTTAATTACTTATATTATACATTTAACCACTTTAGACATTTTTGAGTCATTATAACAAGTTTAAAGTGGAAGTTCGCTTTGGACTTGTTATAATGAGGAAAACAAAACACATTATTTCCAATTAAATATATTAAATATATTTAATTGGATATAATAAATATAATAAATTAAAATATATTTAGTGCAACGTAATCTTATATGCTATTATACTACGATCGAGCATTTCGGGCCAACGTTTCTTCTGAGCAGACGTTACCTTTTTATGCTTGTATTTTAATATGACCGTAACAGCTGCAGAGTGAGATGGTGTGAGATAGATAATTACTCAGTGGGATGAAGAGTTGGTAATTCGTTTAACGAATAAGTGATGTTTAAGTGAATGAAACTATGTTGTAATAAACAGGAAAATATTTAAGAAAAGTTTTGCTGAAAAAATTTAAAAAATGGCATTTCACAAATCTATTCCGAAAATGTTAAAAGAATTATATGGGTATATTAAACTATAAAAATAATAATACTGTATCATATAAGGAGGAACGTTGACCCGAAATGCTCGATCGTAGTGACATATAAAATCTTTTATGTACATTACAGTATAGACAGTAAATATACTTTAATTCGAAAGTGTGTTTTTTTTTATTATACGAAATCCTAGTACACAAAAAATGACCAAGGTGGACAACAGTATAATACAGTTATACAGTCTTATAATATAGTACGGAATTAGCCGGTAAATGACGGGGATGTTCGCTGAGAATATAGTTTAGATGGGAAATATAAAATAAAATGTTTTTGAAATAATGTATTATAATTTCTATATAAGTTTTATAAACATTTACTGCATTGAAAATTTTTTCTTTTTACATTTAGTGAGCGATTGGTTGAAGATCTGGAAGAGTATGAATTTAATGATGATATTATGGGTCGTGCAACAAACATCAGAATCAATGAAGGCTTCAGCAAGCACGAAGGATGCATAGAAAATTCTAACATCATTGGATATAATGTTGGGTGTGCTGATAATAAGAGAAAAACATTAAATAAAGCCGGATCTTTTCTCAAGGCCGTATGGAAGCCAGTAAAGAGGTAAGTTTCTATGTATGTGAATACAAACAAAGTTTGATTTAGCTCGGTCATTCTTTCGTCTTTACAATTCTCACTCAATCTAGTATGATGCTAAACAGAAGTACCTCAAACAGCAACAATTATACACAATATTAAGATGTACGCAGAGATTTGAGCTTAAAATCTTCGTAACTACTATGAGAATGGCATAACTTTTTTATATTTTTGCGCTACATCGAGGTTTACCAAAATAGTTCCATTTTTAATCCAATGAAAAAATAAGTTACAAATGAAAATAATAATAACGAGCAATTATTTATACATATAACGTTTTTTGATTCTCAATTTGATATAATGTAATATTTGATAACATTAAATGAATATAAACACAGCCGATATTGCCCTCTCAATATATTTTGATAAAATTCAAATTTAGATATGTTTTCAGATAATAATTTGATTTTTCTTATGCAGATCAGCACAGAAGTTATTGAGAAGCGTGAAAAATGGAGAGACTGAATACATTCAGTTTCATTAATGATCTCTTTCTATACATCATTGAGTCAAGTGTACATCTACTTGATTTAATCCGAGTACGTCTCGGGTAAGAATATAATCAGAATATTTTTGTATTTTACACTTAACACTTACAAAATTATCTACTCTACACTTATAAATTCAACCCCATTTCAATCCCTGATAGAAATAGTGTTTTAACCATGGTCACAGGAGAACAGAAAACATGTATTAACGTAGAAATACATCATATTCTTTATAACATTGAGACAGACATTGAGATATTTACATATAGACAGATTGGAGTAGTCTTACAGCGCATTAGGATTATATATATATATATATATATATTCTTGTCCAAGTATCGTCTACAATATATTCTAGGAGAGTAGTAGTCTCGTAACAAAGGGAAAGCTACAGGATAAATAGGAGTAGAGATTAAAATATTCAGCCACTTCATATGAATATCAGTATACCAAGAATTTAAACTATTCAAATAAAAAATAATATATATGAAACATAATAAATGACACAACAGTAGCAAATTAATAATTATCATCTTAATAATTTTCGTTTGATATGTAACTAATGTTTTTTAGAAAAAAATAAACTTACTGATTTAAAAATTATTAAATAATTGAATATTTTAGATACATTTATTGATTAATTTTTCAATTTTTTTCACAGATTTAAGAAGTTTTATTTTTAAAATGAGCAAAAAAATCACAAGAGCAATTTTTAAAAACAACAAAAAAATTGTTTTGATCAAACAATCATACCAATAATNAAAAGATAAATCTAAAAAATAACAAAAAAAAGACTTTAAATTTTAATTTTCTTTTAGTTATTTGCATTTCATTGCATTTGTTTTAGTTTTAGTTATTTTTTATTAAGCAACTTTGTTGCTTTTTGTTGTTTTTTGAAAATATTCAAAAAAATTAAAAGATAAATCTAAAAAATAACAAAAAAAAGACTTTAAATTTTAATTTTCTTTTAGTTATTTGCATTTCATTGCATTTGTTTTAGTTTTAGTTATTTTTTATTAAGCAACTTTGTTGCTTTTTGTTGTTTTTTGAAAATATTCAAAAAAATTAAAAGATAAATCTAAAAAATAACAAAAAAAAGACTTTAAATTTTAATTTTCTTTTAGTTATTTGCATTTCATTGCATTTGTTTTAGTTTTAGTTATTTTTTATTAAGCAACTTTGTTGCTTTTTGTTGTTTTTTGAAAATATTCAAAAAAATTAAAAGATAAATCTAAAAAATAACAAAAAAAAGACTTTAAATTTTAATTTTCTTTTAGTTATTTGCATTTCATTGCATTTGTTTTAGTTTTAGTTATTTTTTATTAAGCAACTTTGTTGCTTTTTGTTGTTTTTTGAAAATATTCAAAAAAATTAAAAGATAAATCTAAAAAATAACAAAAAAAAGACTTTAAATTTTAATTTTCTTTTAGTTATTTGCATTTCATTGCATTTGTTTTAGTTTTAGTTATTTTTTATTAAGCAACTTTGTTGCTTTTTGTTGTTTTTTGAAAATATTCAAAAAAATTAAAAGATAAATCTAAAAAATAACAAAAAAAAGACTTTAAATTTTAATTTTCTTTTAGTTATTTGCATTTCATTGCATTTGTTTTAGTTTTAGTTATTTTTTATTAAGCAACTTTGTTGCTTTTTGTTGTTTTTTGAAAATATTCAAAAAAATTAAAAGATAAATCTAAAAAATAACAAAAAAAAGACTTTAAATTTTAATTTTCTTTTAGTTATTTGCATTTCATTGCATTTGTTTTAGTTTTAGTTATTTTTTATTAAGCAACTTTGTTGCTTTTTGTTGTTTTTTGAAAATATTCAAAAAAATTAAAAGATAAATCTAAAAAATAACAAAAAAAAGACTTTAAATTTTAATTTTCTTTTAGTTATTTGCATTTCATTGCATTTGTTTTAGTTTTAGTTATTTTTTATTAAGCAACTTTGTTGCTTTTTGTTGTTTTTTGAAAATATTCAAAAAAGTTAAAAGATAAATCTAAAAAATAACAAAAAAAAGACTTTAAATTTTAATTTTCTTTTAGTTATTTGCATTTGTTTTGATTTGCATATTTTTCATTTTGTATAAATTATTTACTTATTTGTTGTATGTTTTAAAATGTCTATTGAAGTCGTAAAAAGCAGTTTTAAAAGTAAAAAAATCACGTTTAATATTAATTTTTTTTATTCATTTTAAATAATTTCACGAATTTCAATAAAATTGAAGATGTTTAGGTTGCTTTTAGAATAAGAGAGGAATTAATTGCAACATATCGACCAGCGTATAAATTGTGCCACAATTAAATGAAAAGCATCGTTCTATCTGCAATTGATATGTATGGGCATGATTTTTGTCCAGAAAATCTTTAGAAATTTACTATGTCATGATCGTCTATATTTCATGTGTTGCAAGATTTGTTTTAAGATTCAAATATAATAATGAAAGAAGCTGGTTTACAGTTTTATGTTAAAAAAGCATATATTTTTTCGTGCGCTTAAACAGGCCTTCAGCACATGTGTCTCAAAACCGATTGAAATCACATATTTTTGAATTTTGTACCAAAAGTTATCATGGATCCTCCCAAGATTGCAAAGAAATAAACAGCAATGTTTATGAGATATAAATGACTATGAAATGAAAATGACTATTACTTTAACTCCTACGAGAAAATATATACCCATAAGACTTGCCCTGACGATGATAGCAAGAACTTTTCAGACGTAAATTTGTACAAAAAACATGCCGATCCGAATATGTGACAGATTAAATATGAATCTTGAAAAAACAAACTGATTGATGACACCCTACATGACCAAAGATTTTTTTTTATTCATTTAAATTTAATTGTTTTTCTTTTGATTTGCATTCCTTTTATTTTGTATTTACTTGTTGTTTATTTGTTCCATGTTCTAAAATCTCCAATGAAATTGTAAAAAGAAATTTTTATAAGTAAAAGAGAATCATGCTTTATTTTAATTATTTTTTATTTATTTCAATTGAATTGTAGTCATTGTAATTTTCGTTGTTTTTATGTCATATTTCTTCGTTGTTTATGTCACATTTTTTCGTTGTTTATGTATTTTATATTTTAAAATGTTAAAAAAAAACTTAAAAAGTTCTCTAACATATTCAAATTATTATATTTATTGTAATTTTCGTTGTTTTTCACGTGATATTTTTTCGTTGTTTGTGTTACAGTTTTTCGTTGTTTATATTATATATATTCTTTTTTTATATAATTTAAAATGTTAAAAAAATATTTAAAAATTTATAAAAGTAAAAAAAATTATTTTCTATTTTAATTATATTTCATTTATTCAAATTATTCTATTCATTGTAATTTTCTTTGTTATTTATTTGATATTTCTTCGTTGTTTATATTATATTTATTCTTTTTTATATAATTTAAAATGTTAAAAAAATATTTAAAAATTTATAAAAGTAAAAAAAAAATTGTTTTGTATTTCAATTTTCTATCATGTATTTATATTTTATTGTAATTCTTATAATTTATATTATTTTTATTTTATATTTATTTTGTTATTTATTTGTTCAACATTTTAACATATTTGAAAAAATTTTGAAGTTTAAAAATGAAAAAAGTGAATAAAATAATAAAATAAAACAAATCGTCTGTGAGATCATTTTTTGTTTTTGTATTGGTTTTAAGAACATCTGCTGTATTTGATTTATTATTTTAATAATTATAATAATAAATTAAGTACTAAAAGTAGACGGATTTTTCTTGAAAAATAAATTAACGTAAATTTCTAGTTATCATTAAAAGTTAAATATGATTTGGAACAACACATTAAAACATTATAGATTTTTAAATAATTTTTATAAAATCATAATTTTATGACATCAGAAATTGTAAAAAAATTAACCAAAAATAAGTAGTTTTCACTTATTATCAGTATTCAAAAACCTTTATAACATAAAATTAATTGAAATGAATTTATACAAATATAATTTACTCAACATTAAATTTAATTTATTGAAAATTCGTTTAAAGTTTTCAACTATAGTTTCATATTATCATCACCACTTTTAACCTCTTTGTTTCTACATTTTATTTTAAAATCTTTAATTGAACATAAGAAATACTTAATACTGAAAAAAAAACAAAAGATATGCCTTAATTTCGAACAGAAAGCTTTGAAGTCTATTTTCCATTGTCACGTATTTCAGCGAAATTTGACGCTGATGAGTAATTGTGTTTACAGCTAAATGACCTTGAGAACAGCTGGTATAGTCTTTCGCGGTACATTCTCATAAAAGTTTCAAGAGGAGAAGGGATTAAAGTAGGGTGAATACTAGTTGAACGAATATTTTTAAATATTTTAAAAATTTTCCGTTTTTAATTGCGATATCCGACCCCCTACCGATTTAATTAAAGGTATATATAGATGCCGAAATTTTTGAAAAAATTATGACACTTAAAAAACATCTGAAAATTAAAATAAATGTTAATTTTTCCTAGTAGGGCTAAAAATCTGTTTGTTCGTAACGCTATGAGAACCGCTCGAGTCAGTCTTGAGCTTAATATTTTAACAAATACTATTTATTTTGAGTTTCATTTAACGTCATCAATTACAAATGTTATTTTTTTTGTCGAACTTGCATTCATTATTCATTTAGTATCTTTCAACTCGAATATTTTTATATAAAAATTAGTGTTGTAACGAATAGTATATTTGGCCTCAGGCCAAATACCGAATATTCGGCCAGGAGCGTAGCCAAATAGCCAAATATTCGGCCAAACTATTCGGCTCGATTAACGCACGTACGAAAATTGGCGCGCAAACCGCATTATGGCCAGGATTTGCTCTTCATTGGCCCACTGTCACAACGCTTCGCCAATCGCTTTAATTCTTGACAATTGTAGCGAACAGACAAGAGCGTCGTGGCAGTATGTGATAAATGATGATATCAAATGTGGATAACAATGAAATGACCTACACGTGTAAATAACGGAAAAAGAACAGAGAAGGAACACAAAGTGAAAATGTGAAAATAAATAAGAAATTGAGTTGATAGCATAATCGAACAAGTCGAAGCAACTTATTGGTGCGAAATTTGCGGCCGTCAATGCCAAACAAGTGTTGTCATAGACTGCGAAAGCTAAATGCTTGTAATAAAGGTCACTTAGCG